ATAAAATCAATGTTGGGGTATAACACATCATTAAATTATGGATTGTTTTCAAGTTCCTCTTACTCAAACCATCTAAGAATCTGGAAATAAATAAGTCTCCTTGAGAGAGGTCATTACTTTTATTCCTCATTGGGTGTCATTAGGATACATCTCACTCAGAGATTTTCTCCCCTCTACCCAGGGGTTAAACTATACTGATGGAGACTTTCAGCTTGTAAAAGAAAAAGAATAAACATACCCATTGGAGATGAGCTTACGGTGACATGCAGATGAAAAAGCAATGGAGTCATGGAAATCTACTCTGCTCAAGCGCTGAGATATTTTTCCTCAGCTATTTTAAGATAATGAATAATGCATGCTTTAATTTATTTGCAGTGGAAAGAAAGTGAGAAGTGAGGAAGTGCCACCAGGAAGTGAGATATCTGCTGACCTCTGCAGAGTCCTAGAGGAACTGGGCCCCTCCAAGAAAGGTCCATCAAAGGCATAAAGTATCATAGCCATCAATTTCAGATTTCTTGGTCTAGCTGGAACTTCCTTGCAGCTACTTTTGGAGAGGGCAAAGAAATCTGAAGTTTCTTTGTTTTTACTGGAGCTACTTTCCACTGAGCTTGACCACACGATGCGCCAATGTTCTTGATGTCCAAGGGTCACGTGGGCCACAGTCAATAACAGCGAATCTAAACTTTCATAAGAGACACAAATACTTTTTGTGAAAGCTCAACATTTACAGCCACTGTTAAAAAGTATTGCAGTAGAGGTCACTAGAATAGAGTCTCTGTTTTAAAGATATTTTTAAAAAGACATTTGAAATTAAATGAGCTTTGTGGTTGCAGCAAAAGTCCATGATTCTTAAAGTTGAAGAATTTTATTAGGATGAAGAATAATAACCATTTCATCTAAAACCAACATGATGAAGGCAATATAAATCAAGCCTGTTTCATCAGCTTCATTTCATCTAATTTTTCTATAGATATTAATCATCGTTTAGTCCATATAAATGGCATCTATTTTAACACAGAATACAAAATATTCCCTCTTATTCTTTTTCTACTGTGTTATTTTGAAAATATAAGAGAAAAATAAGTTAGTTGGAGCTGCAGGCCTTCAAGATTGCAAGATGCCAACAATAGCATGATATTAAAGAGAAGCAATAAATTTTGAATCTGTCATTCAGCATGAGAACTGGAAAAAAATATTATTTCCCATAGATTAGAAGTAGTGGGGGAAGGGGAAAGGGATATAACTCTCTTCATTTGTCCTTTGTAAATTCTAATGCCAAGTACAAGAGATAAGGATTTCTTCCCAGGAAGTTCACAGAATACGTTTATTAGCTCTATTAATGCTCATCTGAAAGACCAAGGTTAGTCAAATTCCATAGCACAGCATCTAATGACAAGGAAACACCAGCCATAAAAATCAATGGGTTTATCCATTACAGTAAATTCTGGGTTGGAAGGTTGAGATTATAGCAAAGAAAACTGAGAGTAAAAATTTGGCTTTCATCATAGATGCTAGTGTCAAAGAATTTTATAAAACACCAGATATGCCATTTCTTTTTTGTCACTGAAGCATGTTTTTCTTGGCACTGATAAAGGATAATCAGAGAAGAATCTAAAGCCTAGAGAAGCAAAAGCAATTCAGAAGCAGAAGCTAGGGCAACAGCAAGAAATCAGAATGAACAGCACACATCTGTGCCTTTGGATCAAGGTACCTCTGAATCAAACACAGTCAGTTGGAAAGTGCAACTTCCTTGTTAGGTCCCTTTTAATAACTGTGTCATCTCCCCAAATGAATGAGTTAGGGGAAAAACATAGCTATGGAAGAAAAAAGAGCAAAGGGAACACATACAATTTGTGCATTGTTCCCCTTTTATTTTAATTCACCATGCATGCATTTCCAGTAAGATTGCTAGGCCTACAATCACAAAGAATAACATCACCATGTATTTTAGAAGCCACTTCACCTTTCGCTGTATGCCCACATTTCAATGTAATTTTTTCCTTTGTAGTGAGAGGAAGAGCACACCACCCTAATAATCTAACAGTTTTATTCTTTTATTATCCTGCTGAATGCAGAACACTCCCTTTTTATAATGGATAGGAGAAATTCCAGACTTTGGGAAACCCACATTTCTGTATAAAATGCTTCCCCAAGCTTACTGGGTGTTAGCATCACAGGATATACCAGAAGGCAACCTACATTGGACTCTATAGGATTCCTTTCATTTGACCTATCTGATGTGATTAATTTGCTTCTTTATATCAAAAAATCATCATCCTTGTCATACCAATGATTAAGAAGCAAATCACAGATATAGTTCTTTCCAGAATTGAAATAAATGGTTTAAAAACTATTTTAAGCCATGGAAAGAGGCCTAACTCACAGTGACTACCAGGACCACTAATGCATATAATCTTACAACTCACTTCTCCAGAACTCATTTCTAATGTTTCAAGCCACAGAGATCTCACTTGATAACTTTGTTCATGTTAAAATGGAAATTTTCCCTTTAATAGGTGCTTCCTTTGAACATTGTATCCATCAAATTTATATTTTTCTCTCTATACCTGTAGCCATGTAAATGAGTATCATAAGGTGTTTGCTATCAAGATTATTTGGAGAGGGTGTCAGTCTGGAGCTGGCTTAGATTAAAACTCTTGTTAATTTTTTATCTAGCATGAGTTTTGTTAACTGGGAATATAAGAATGCCTTAATTACCAAAGATAAATAAATAAATAAATAACTGTTCATATCAGTTCACAGGGCAGAGAATCCATGTCATGAACATTTTTCTTTACTGCATTGTTTGATTTCCTATTGAAAGTATGTGAAATTAGTGGATTTACTAATTTCTTACTATTTGTTCAGTTTTTATTAGTGGGTCCTTATCTCAATCCATTATAGTCAAATCTCAAATTCTAAAATGTAAAGAAGTTAAGATTTTGGCCAACTTAGACTCTGTCTCTTTGGTAGCATTTTCAGTAGGATCACATAAATTATTTCATTAATTTAACTCTTTTGCTACCCTATGAATTTTTTCAAATCTCTGTAAGGTTCTTCTACTATTAAAACAATATTATATGGGTGTGATATTAAGATACAATGAAAGGAATAAAAACCTATTGGTAGGCTTTAGCAAAGCTACTACATAATTCTGAGTAAATGCTTATTATCTGGTAAAATATAAATATAACACTTAAATACACAATGCCATTCTTTTGCTAACTCGGGTCTACCAATAATCTTTCTTTTTCACATAAGTAAAAGTTTAAACTCCATTAGAATCATCAGGACAAGAAAACATTGGCTAAGTCTGTCACCCAGTGAGAAGAAATGAATTACAAAAATCTATAAAGATATTCATATACTAAAGGGCACTAATAGCAGGAATCAAGACAGAATCTCATATTATAAATGCGCATCAAGGAAACATTTCAAAAAGAAGCAAATGGTCATTATTTTCCCTCCTGCATTTATCATCCAGTGCCTTTATTACCTGTGATACATGTACACATACACATAATTTTTAAAAAAATTGTGAATGCTTGGCACACAATTAATAATTGACAAATTTGTTTTTCAGTTCCCACTAAAATGCATGAGAAAAGTTTAAAATAAAAAATCAGTTGTTTAATTGTCATTTGCCACAAGTCTAATAAAGATCTACTGGTACATGAATAGAATACAGAATCACATGGATGAATGGCTATTAACAGTTTCTTTTTTGTCTGTGTCTATGCAGGTCAAGGATGTAATCAAGAAAGATAGTGGTGGAAGCTGAACCCTTAACTTCAGAACTCTAGTAATCGAGTTGGTGGTTCACAGACATCACAGATATGACAGTCAAATTCTAGTATAGACACAGCCAAATCTCAGAATCCCAAAGACAAACACAACTTGCTACAGGAAAACAACAATAGAGCTCTGTAGTTTTAAGGAATATGAGGAATTACCAGGAGGTGTGTAGAATATAATTGGCTTTGAAACACACAAATGAAAGGGCTGGACCCTTATTCAAGTACAAGCGTGGTTCTTAGTTCCATGACTACAGAGGAATGCAGCAAACTTAATGTGAGCTATGTGGAAAGGCCACACCATTAAGGGCAGTAAGAACTCTGACAACATTGAGAGAAGAAAAAGAATTTAGCTCGGAAGAAGAAGACTGAATGTGGGTCACTTAGTGATGATTTTCACGAATGCCTCTGGCTATAGTTTAAACACAAACGTAGTTTAAATGCACTGACATGGAAGGGTTCGGTGGGGGGGATAATGATTATTTTGAAATAAGGAAGACAATTTGTGGGTGCAGGGGTGGGGGTGTTATTTCATGTGAGAAAAGATTGCTGAGAGGTTGGAAATCTACCCAGAGGGTCTTAAGAAAGAAACTGAGGCTCCCGTGTGTAAAGTGTCCCAGAAGGGGGTCATGGAGCCTGAGTGCCTCACTGCAGAGGTCTGTGCTCTGTGTGTATATACATACTTCGTTGTGCTTATGTTGCACAAATACTCAGGCATATAGACACGTCCATATAAACTGGCACATAATAGATTTGAGTGAAAAGTCATATAAATCTGCCATTCCCCCCACCCACCCAGATCCTATAAACAAAAGGGCAAAGAAAACATTAAAAATCCAGACCTGTTTCATTGGGCCAGATCTCTTTCTACCATATTTTTTGTTCAAAGGAGGGAGGTAGAAGATGAGAGAATAAAAACCCAATTTGGGATAAACAACTCCCAGAGCCTCTCAGCTACTCTGAGAGATGGGAGTTGCCTCTCATTAGGGTTAAGTTACTCAGTACATTGACCCAGATAACAACCAAACCACAATGAAGATTTTCTGATACTTCCACATCTGGAAAGAAATCTACCCTGTGATTCACATGTTAAGGTGAACTAGGTCAATAGGCAGTAATAAATCAATGGGCTACTGTGTTCTAACACATGTGGACTGTTATTTTTTTTTTCTGTTTTCAAATGTGAATTTTTTTTAGGAGGTTTATTTCAACATGATGACACACTTTATCTCTTCTCCCACCCCACCCCAACCCTCCCCTATAGATGATACTTCCGTAAAAGTTCAGACTGCCAAGGGTGTTTTCTCTCAGGGAAACGATCTGGGATTTTGATCTTGAGGAAATCCTGGATGCATTTCTCCAGCTCTTCCTCAATGGAGAGCTTTTCTTTAACAGCTTTTTTTTTGCTGCTCACGTTCGACTCCCTGGAGCCGGAAGTCAGAGTTCGAAGCAGATCGCTTTTCCGCCGCATTTCTGACTGCTGGATCAGCTGCACAGGGCCCTTCTTCATGGGACGGTCGAGAGTCTGGATGTTGGTCTGGCGTGTCACGGGCCCACAGATGACTGTCTCCTGGGGAGAGCTGGCTTCCGATTGGCTGTCACAGCTAGAAGTGGAGAGGTCGTTGCAAGAAGTGCCACTCTCTCCCTCTTTGTCCCCCTTGCCGTTCTTGCAGCAGCAATCACAGTGAGAAGATGACCACCTAGAAGGCTCACCTGCAAGAAAGCAAAGGACCCAAGAGATTAGGAGTGTTGACCAGCTTACTGTGGAAAAGCAGAGCATCTCTCTCTCTCTCTCTCTCTCTCTCTCTCTCTCTCTCTCTCTCTCTCACACACACACACACACACACACACACACACACACTCATGTCCACAACCACATCCTTGGAAGAAGTGGTGTGGTGCATAATATCATTACAAACACAAGAGTCAGATGTCAAAGTCGCTGAAGAGAGGCAGATAATAATGACACTCTGTATAAGAAAGAAATCGTAGTGGAATGCATTAATTCCTGGTCATCGGAATCAGATAGACTTGGGTAAGAAGACTCAGCATTATTATTTACTAAACTTGTTACTCTGGTAGATAGACCCCTTGAGTTTTTAGAAAGTTTGGGTTTCCTCATCTGTGAAAGGAGGAACATATTTTTCTTTTATTTTGTTTTGGCGCGGGGGGGGGGGGGGTTACTTGCCTTATTATTTATATTTTATAAGTGAGCAAAATCACTTGGTTTTTCACTACCTCATTTTCATTCTTGTTTTGCATTATGCATCCATGTCATCTGGTATACAATAAGTTCCCTGAGATGGGCAGAGTAAAGTGCCCACTGCAGTTACCCCACTCAATTGTTCAATGTAATAATGTAATAAAAATAGTAAAATACCATCTCCTGAGAAGAACTTTTTTAGTCTTTGGATGTAGCTACACACAAAGCTTGTCTTTTCAGTAGACTTTTTAGTTAAATGATACATTAAATGATACTGAAGTCAAGCTGTCTTCTCTTCCTATTCTCCAGATTATGAACTCCAGCACTGCATTCCACTATTTGGAAGCAGAGTCCCTTTTTACACAGAAACACTCTTGGCTGTTAGGAAAAATGGCCCTCCCGTTGATCGTCGATTTGCTCGAGCGGGCCCAGTAACGTCTCCATTGGAGACTTTGTTGTTACTGTGTCTGGCATATCGAATACTCTCGGTAGCTTGCCGGGCTCTCCGAGAGGGGCGGAGGAATCGAACTCGGGTCGGCCATGTTGGCCGCTTGTAAGGCGAACGCCCTACCCAAATGAAATAATGAAATTCACTTAGAAGTGGATGGACATGGTGAGTATCACTCTGAGTGAAATGAGTCAGAAGGAGAAGGACAGACAGAGAATGACAGCATTCATTTGTCTGATTTTTTTTTCTTTTTTGGGTCACACCCGGCGATGCACAGGGGTTACTCCTGGTTCATGCACTCAGGAATTATTCATGGCTGTGTTTGGGGGACCATATGGGATGCTGGGAATCGAACCCGGGTCAGCCTCATGCAAGGCAAACACCCTACCCACTCTGCTATCGCTCCAGCCCCTGTCTGATATTCTTTTTGAAAAAAGTATGAGACTAATATCCAAGGCCACTGAAGAGCCAGGAGGACTGGATGAAAGCTTGCAACAAGCATGTTTGGAGACCAAAGGGCAGTTAGGATAGAGAAGGGACCAGTATGACAATAATAGTTGGAAATGATAATTTTGCACAGGAACTATGTGTTAAAAGTAGATCCAGGGATATACCTAATAACTTTTCAGTACCTTGTATTGAAAACCATAGTTCCAAAAGGAGAGGATGTATATAGATATAGATAGATATAGATATAGATGGATGGATGGATAGATAGATAGATAGATAGATAGATAGATAGATAGATAGATAAAGAAAGATAGATACAGAAAGAGAGAGTGAGAGCCTACCACAGAGGCAGGGGGTGTGGTAGGATGGAAACTTGGGACATTGGTGCTGGGAAATGTACACTGGTGAAGGAATGGGTGTTGTGACTGATACCTATCTATAAACAACTTTGTAACTATGAATCCCACTGATTCGATTTTTAAAAAATTAAACTGAAAAATAAAGAAATAGTCCTGATGGGTCTTTCTTAATGGCTCTTTGAACTACAGAATCTACAATTATGGCACAAAACGCCATGCTGAGTCATGGCCCACAGACTTCTAGCCTAAGAACTGTTACAGTTTTCTTGGAGTCATGAATGTGGTTGTATTACCCTACATGAGCTATTCAGTGGGTACCTCATATTTAATTTACTTCACTAGAGCCATGCATGTTGTTGGTCATGGGGGAACAAATCTTAATGCTCTAATTCTAAGAACAAGGACACTATGGTATGTTTATATGTATGAAAGTATCCACAGTTTTTGTTTCATATCTTATTCTCATAAATCATGCACTGCATTACAAAATCACATTTTATGTTCCCATTTCCAACTTGGTCAAAGTAAAGAAAACTTAGAATAAAAAATACTAAGAAAATATTCAGTCATATGTAATGCCTGCCCTTTTTATACCTCAGTGATATAAACATTTTTAAGCAGCTTACATGTTTTTCTAGAAGCAAAAAAAAAAATCTGTAAATGACAATTCTATAAAAATCTCTAATGTATACTCTCTGTTTCAAACCACTCTTTAAAAGGTAACTGAGGAAACATTGTATTTATAAAGCCATTAAATTAAATGCAAAGATCCAATTAGCCAAAAGGAATCACCACAGAAGCCCTGTCCTCGTTATCCCAGATGATCACAAATACATATCTTCCATGCAACAGAGGAGCTGCTGCATATGGACAAGCTGGTGCCTGAAAATATCAGCAGTAGAAAGTGGTTCGGTCTGCCAGAACAAATTTTGAGGAGGTTGTTTTTCTCCTTCAGATGGCAGAAGTAGCCTCTGCCTCTCCAAAGGATGACATCCACAAGTGTTCTCCTAAGGATCCATGGGAAAAAGGCATCAAGACTTGGGTCAATGAAAAATAATCACACCAGCACTGAGCAGATCAAGTTTGATCCTTTCCATGAGAAGTTCAGAAACTAAACTGAGAAACAAGAGAGGCAAAGCATGCTGGAATATGTCTGCCTATCACCTTAAAATAAGATGACAATGGATTTTGTGCCATAAACTCTGTGAGGCCAGTAGAAATGCAAGCCCTGTGTTTTCTGCCATGAAGTTACCTTATACCATGGAAAATTATTTCACTCAGTGGTCTTAGGAGCAAAACCTTAACTTTTTCTAGAAACCATTTTAACACACAGGTACCAGAGGAAAGAGGAGGCCTGTATAACAATGTGGAAAACAGCACTCAACCCTCTACTCCCTGTCCCGGCCAATGACTCTGCAGAGAGGCTGCTTTAGTGGCCAAAGATTTAAACGTCTGTTGGTATCTTCTTGCATCTGGGCCAATAGAAGTATTACTTTCTACTTCTTTTAGGCACTATGGCTATTAAAGGGAAATTGAGGAACTTAATTTTAGTGGAGACTATTATACTATTACACGTTTCAATATTTTATGAGAACATTTGAATATTTTACCAGTTTGGCAAGATAATTCATAAGATGACTTCTAAATCCTATGTTTTATGGATTGCTTTCTCAGGCCCATGTTCTGCCTTGAACACTTAGCTCGCTTGCTTGTCTCCCTGAACATGGACTTTGCTTGCTTGTTTGCTCTTTCAAGCTCATGTTCTCTTTAGAACATATATTTCTTTCTTTGTCCTCCCCTCATATCATTCTAAGTAAGTTTTATTCAGTCAAAACTATCGCGGTCAACAAAATAAATAGAATAGAGTCTATAATATGTGGAAATCAAGAAGGAAAATAGTATGAATATGGCCCAGATGGAAGTGCTATGTGAGGACTCATTGTGAAATCTGAAAAATATAATCAAATATGAGAATATAAGCAGCTATTTCTTCTTCAGTAGTGTCTGTCTGACTATTCCCCTCACCCCAAGAAACTGACCACAGAAGACGTCCTAACCCACAAAACAGAAGCATGGGTCAGTAGATCTATACACCTTTGCACATCTACACATACATGCTCACCAGTTCTAGAAGATGAAAAAGGACCTAGGATAGGCCAGCCTATCCTAAGTAATTCTAGAGTACTTGAGTTACTCCTTTAATTCAAGAAGAGAATGATCTCATAAATTCCTTAGTAATTTAAACTGCAGCATACTTTTGCTCTACTTTGCTAATGTTTCAATATTGGATGGAATAATTCTCTCCATTTGAGGTGGAATCAGGTTGAAATTGATTAGTCATGTAGGGGAGAGAAGCAGTTTTTTCCCAGAAAGGTTTGAATTATTAAAAAAGGGGAAAAAAGCAGTGATTACATTTTTGAGTCATTCCTAACCAGTTGCTGATCAGAAACTTAATGTTTTCATTTGTATTTTCCTTCTTCATTTGTTTTTGTTGTTGTTGTTGGACGGGGGGAATGTTCTTGGACCACATCCAAGAGAGCTCAGGGCTTACTTCTCACTCTGTGGTCAAAGATCACTCCTGGCAGACTTTAGGAAACCATACATGGTGGAACTGGACCCGAGATGCCCATATATAAGAGAAGCAACCAGCCTGCTGTACTTTATTTCCTGCCCTATTTAAATGTTTATTTAAACATTTTAAATAAACATAAACAAGTATTGAACCTGCATGTGAAGTATGTGCTCTACTACTGAGCCACATACTGAGCCTCTACCCCCTCCCACACACATATATACACAGATATATACATACATGATATAGGTTTTTGGATCATGCTCGGCAGTGCTCATGGCTTACTTTTGGCTGTGTAGTCAGTGGTAACTCTTGGAAGAACTCGGGGAGACCAAAGAGGATGCAGAGGATCAACCCAGGTTGGCCACATACAAGGCAAATGCCCTCCCCACTGAACTATCTCTATAACTCCCTATATCATATGTTTTTAAAACAAAGTATTGTTGAATTTCTGGGTGTCTGTTATATGATTCATGGTGCCTGGTGCATACTAGCAGATTGATAAATGTTTGATGAAGAATTGGTATAAGTTGCAATCTACATACAGTTCTTGGTCTGGCTAGGGTACCATTTTATAAAGCACACTGATCCTCCAACGTATTAGGCAAATGAATACTGCACCCTTAGGGATGCTTTATTTGGGTGGAGGACTTGAGAGTGACCGCCTCTGTGTTCTGACAC